ATCAAAATTATAAAGTACTTTGGACAAGGGCAAGATGATAAAATGTAAATGATCAAATAGGATTTTTGCCTGAAGAAACAGAATTCCGTATTTTGGGAAGAAAGCAAACTCTTTTTCAGCCCGCATTTAGCAGATTTCAGATGAAAGTTTGAGGGAAAAACTGTGGTATTGTCAGAAGATATTAAGAGGAAATAGTATGTAGGAGCAAAATTCTTGCCAGGCAAGATTTCTACAAAGGTGGTGAAACACCAAGTAAAAATACAGACCTGAGCATATGCACTCTGAGTAACTTTCTTTAAGTCATCTTGGGCCCCTGTTGTAATTCTTCCAAAGAAGATTTGTTCTGACACACGTCCTCCCAAAGTCATACACATTCTGTCCAGAAGCTGTTCTTTGGTGTACAGATACTGTTCTTTCGGCAAATACTGAGCATAGCCCAGTCCTTTCCCACGAGGAATAATAGATACCTTGTGTCAGAAGAGAAATAAAAGTATTTTTATAACCAACCAACCAACAAATAAACAAGCAAACAGTAGCTTATAACAAATCTATATTTCATATGATGGTTATCTCTACAAAGATACTTTTAAATAAGAAATATGTAAAGCATGACTTTTGGATTCAAAGATATTTAAAGTTGATTTAATAACTTTCCATTCTATATGAAATAGACAGATGATTAATTCAAGGCATCCTGGTTTGAAAGCTCGCACTTCAAAGGGAGATGCCAAGGAGATATATAAAAGGCTCACCTATAATTTATCTCAACTGAGAAGCAATCCTTCAAAAGAACTTCTGTGCCACAAGTCAACATACCTTCAGAAGTGGATCAGCGTGTTCCAGAAACCATCCAGCAACTGCATGGCCAGCTTCATGATATGCAACTGTTTTTTTTTCTTCTGGTTGCAATACTTGTGTTTTCTTTTCCAGGCCTTTGATTGGTTAAATACATAAGTATTCAATTAGTGTGTCAATTTCTATGGAGCATATTTCTCAGCTGCTGTGCCAATGAGGGGCTAACAAGAAAACATGGTACTAGTAAATAATCTTTCTGTTCTCTCTCTGCATGAGTGAGAAATTACCACGAGAGGAAGAAGAAAAAATATTTTTAGGCAAAAGCCACATTGGCTCCTACATACTATTTTCAAGTAAGAAGCAAAATATCATTCTTGCTTCATAGCAGAGATGCCAAAAAATCAGACTGCCAGCCAAAGCAAAGTTTTATGGCCACCAAAGCTGCCTGCATAGGTGGGGTTAAATAAATGAGATTATGCTTTTTTGCAGTTTAAAGGTTTCAGATGAATGGGCAAAACAGGTGCAAATGCTTAAGGCACCTGTCTCATCTGTTTAAAACGCCAGCCCCCTGCCCCTGGGATGTAACTTTCATTGGGGGCATCTAATGAAAGAGGAACTCTTACTGCATTAGGGGAGTAAAATGCCATTTGACAATCAAAATTTTGAGTGTCATGTTTTTGTCATTTCTTTTTAAGTTTTTATTCCCTCCTCCATCCCTGTAAATTATTCTATGGACACTGCACAAATGCTCATGGCATCCATGTGTTGCATAAAGCCTATCACTCTCCATATACTAATGAACGTATTTGCCAAACAAGCAACATTAGAACATGAATGAAAGAACCAACTGATAACAGCACCAATAATGTAATCCACAATGTGTGAGCTCCTCACCTCCTATCACTCTTTCAATAGCTTGCTCAAAATGCTTTTGATTTATGGCATCTGCAAGATGTCTTGCAGCAATTAAGGCAGCTTCATTGCATACATTAGCTATATCCGCACCTAAAGAAAAGAAGGTATAAGAGACACATAACTCCAGGCTATTTCCAATTTTTTTTATCATTTACCACAAGGAGGATACTTTGAAATTTTATATCTCAGTGGCTAATGTTTCCACCGAAATAAATGCCACTCCTGGAAAAATCAAACTCCAAATAAATTTTGAGTCAATGATTTAAAGATTATCTGTTCAGAATCAGGGCAAATAGCTAATATGCTCATAAAGAATCCATTCAGTATACTTAAATAATTGGGACCTGAGTTAAAAGAAAAATTATTTGCCAAGCTCCAGAAAATGATTTTCGGTATGCTGAAGGATAACCTTATTTTGTTATTGACTTTTTTCCTTTGAGGGTCACCATACCATCTTCAAACTCCTTCACCCAAAATAATTTTGGCATGTGACTTCAGGAAGACTAAAACCAAAGTCTTCTTAATATAAGTATAAATTCAGTAACTGATATTTGTAATGCAATGTATTAAAAATGCATTAGTTATTACATAGGATTACCTACCTGAAAATCCAGGGGTTAACGATGCAAGTTTCCGTGCTAAATTATCTTTATTCAAGGTAGTATCCAACTTAAGAGGCCTCAGGTGAACTTTGAAAATAGATGCTCTTCCTTTTATATCTGGTGGCCCTTGGGAAGTTTAAAAAAATATTTTTAAAATACATTGTTTACAAATATTTCAAACATGTATACTTTTTATAAAGGCCAATAGGCTCTAATTACTCCATCTCTCTCATCTTCCATGTACAAAAGTATCCAATCTGAGAATCTTTTAGATACGTAATTTCACATGTTAAGTTTGCTAAGATGCTCCAGGAAAATAACAATTCCACCTCATTTCCTCTCTGTGTAATATTGTTTAATTAATCTTTACAAGACCAATATGGGGAACTGCTTACCAATGAAGATCTGTCTATCGAAACGACCTGGCCTCAAAAGGGCAGGATCCAGGATATCTGGTCTATTGGTGCCTGCCAAGACGACAACGTTTGTTGTGGTGTTAAAACCTGTGAATGAAACGTAATATTTAGTAATTATTGATTATTGCAAATATATTATTTTCCAAAATAGACCAACAAATTATGTTTTATTTATTTATTTATTATTTAAATTTATATACCGCCCTATCTCCCTTACGGGACTCAGGGCGGTGAACAGGCAATAATAAAAATCACAATAAATATTGAATAAAAAGCCTGCTCTAAAATACCCCATATAAAACCCCTAGCAAAGCCCAATCAAAACTACGCCAGGCCGGCCGCATGGAATAGATGGGTTTTCAAGGNTTCAAGGCTCGGCGGAAGAGGCGCAGGTCCGTAGTTGTACGTAGGTCGGGGGGTAGGTCATTCCAGAGGGCAGGAGCTGCCACAGAGAAGGCTCTCCCCCTGGGGGTCGCCAGCCGGCATTGACTGGCCAACGGCACCCTAAGGAGGCCCTCTCTGTGGGAGCGGACTGGTCGAAGGGAGATATTTGGTAGGAGGCGGTACCCCTTGTTTTGACTCCTAATTATTTAGAAAAGCCATAAAGAGGCAAAAATGCATGTAAGCTATATTAAACTGAAAATGTGGGAACTGTGCTTCAACAAACATTGATGAAAAAAGCGCTTGCAGTGAATTTTTAAAATATTTTTTCTTATTCCATAGTTCTTTACTGCATTTGCTTTCCAATTCTCAAAGTAAGTTACACGGAAACAATATAATTTATTCCCATTTTATCTCTTTAAGACTGTAGTTTTATTTTAAGATGTACCAGAATTACTACAAAATTTAAAGAGTTACCATCCATTTCTACTAGGAGTTGATTGAGTGTATTTTCCTGTTCACTTTGCCCTCCAAAGTTACTCCTTCCTCTCTTTCTTCCCACTGCATCTATTTCATCAATGAAGAGAATGCAAGGTGCATTTTTACGAGCCAGAACAAATAAATCGCGAACCTTTGCAAGAGAACAGAAAGTATTTTCAATGACTCAGAGCACTACCCCATGTTTTTTATTCAACAGAAAGTTACCGCAAAGTCATGAAATCAGGAAGATTGTATTGTAGCCAATAAACTAGACGTAAAATGCATTTTGTGCAAATTGTAAAATGTTTTAAAATGCAAACAAACATTTCATGTTTGGTTTAAACATAAAATTAAACATAATTTTGTTGCTTGAGAGCCAAATATATAGAAGAGCTGGATTGATGAATATATATAGTCAAGTATGCCCTGTTCATCCAGATAATATAAAGGCTATATAAAACTGCTTATAAACAATGACACTTCAGCAAGCATAATAAGTACTATACTTCCATCTTAGAAATACCAAAACAATCCACGCTTTGTTGCTAGAATATAACAATGCAATAAAATGTAATCTGGGAAAAATACTGCCTAAATCTGTTCAAAAATTTAGTATTAAATTGCTTCTCCCACATTTCTTATTGATTATGCAACTCTGCATTCAGTTAGTACATTTTCAACATTGATAACCAAATATATGAAGCAAGGCTATTCACAAGAAACAGAATGTGCATACTCTATTACAGTGGTGGCGAACCTATGGCACGCGTGGCAGAGGCGATACTCAGAGCCCTCTCTGTGGGCACGCGCGCCATGCCCCGGAGATGGCAATTGTCCCTCTTCAATCAGCCGCTTGCTAACTCGCCGAGGTCCCATGTGGCCGGATGCATCCCAGCACAGCTGGTTTCCCTCCCCCCCCCGTCCCATCCCTCCTGGCCTCGCATGTTCTCCTTTTCCCGGGCACGACCCACTGCATCACCTCCTCAGCTGTCGGCCGGTCATCCAGCTCAGAGGCAGCTTCTCTGAACTGCTGCTGGTGGGCTGCAAAACCCCAGAGTGCACCAGTCGAGGGGCCGGCAGACTGTGGTTGCTGATGGACACTGTTGACCCCCATGCGCTCGCTGGCCTCTGTGTGCGGGGGCCGATGGTGTCAGGCAGCAGCTGCCCCAGCCTCACCTTGCCCTACGACAATGGCACCCTTGCCCGGCCTCACCTTGCCCTACGACAATGGCACCCTCGCCCTGCCTCACCTTGCCTCGCCTCACCCCGCAGGACGAGCCTCCTGCCCACCGCCCCACCTGCCAGAAACCCCCTGGATTTTCCCCAACCCTGCCCAGCCCCCACAGGCATCCCTCCCCATGAGCAACATTTAAGTGACCACACCCACCTTGGCCACACCCACCCAGTCTGCCATGACCACCACAGCCACGCCTACCCAGTGGGTCACGCCCACCTGGCACCCGACGATAAATAAATGGATTTTGGGTTGCAGTTTGGGCACTCGGTCTCTAAAAGGTTCGCCATCACTGCTCTATTCCATTGTTTAAGAAAACTATAAAAGAATAATATATACTTGAATAGTGTTATGGAGATAGTAACTCCATAACCTTACTCACTTTTATTACAGACAACCAATTGTTTATAACTTATTCACACAGGTGAATATAATGTATTTCCCTGGTTACAAATAAAGAATTTGATTTGAACCTAACTGTGCTTTATCTGGTCCTTGACCACAGTAGCATATTTTGAAGTGAGATTTCAAAATTTGTACATTAATGGAACAAAGGATTCAAAATAGGACAGTATTCACAGGACAGTTAATAAAAATGTAAATAAGACTAAATTGACATGCAGTGAAAAAAAACCAGATAGTAAAAAGGACTACAGGTAGTCCTCGAACTACAACCACAACTGAGTCCAACATTTCTGTTGTTAAATGAGACATTTGTTAAGTGAGTTTTGCCCCATTTTACTTTCTTGCCACAGTTAAGTGAATCACTGCAATTGAAAGTTAGCAACCCAGTTGTTAAGTGAATCTGGCTTCCCCATTGACTTTGCTTGTCAGAAGGTCGCAAAAGGTGATCACATGACCCTGGGACACAACAACGGTCATAAATATGAACCAGTTGCCAAGCATCTGAAGTTTGATCATATGATCATGGGGATGCTACAAAGGTCTGAACAGTATTATTAAAGCAAATGCCGCAGCTACCAACTCGGAGGAGTCAAGGTTTTGCTTACAAAATGGAAACTGAGGTTGTTGACTGTGCTAGAAAGAGGATAATTTTGTAATTGATCATGGCAGGATTTCTCTCTGGTGATCCCTATATACTAGAGCATAACCTGTGTTTCCTGAACTTCATAAGGTTCCAACAGTAATCCTCATTTAACAACTAAAACTGAGCCCAATGTAGGAGTTCTCCCCAACTCCATACCAGAGAAAGACCTTTTCAACCAGTCTCTTTTGAGACTGAAAGAGCTGCCTGCCAAATTGATATGGCCCACGTGGGACAAAGTCCCTCTGCCAAGCAGCTGTTTCATTCTCAAAAGAGACTGGCTGAAAAAGGTCTATCCTGAAATCCAAGGGAACTAGCCAGGCGGCAGCAGCTTGAAACTTTCCCCTGCTGATCTTATAGGCACCTAATGCAGATGTGTCTCTTCACTCAGGCTCCCTCTGCACACATCAGATGAACTGTTCTTGTTACTTTTATTTCTGATCTCTATCTTTTTCTACTATCTGATTTTATATAATTTTTAATTTATTGTACGTGTATTTTATGAATTGCACTGATACGGTTTTCTATAAGGTATCAACATAACTTTCCCTAAGTGCTCTTTTTTAGATAGCTCAACTAACCAAATGCTGTTCTTCCAGCCATCAGTCCTTCTGCACTTAGCCCGTATGCATTTCTTGCCTTCTTGTTTAGAGTATACAATATATCAACAATCTTGTTATAATTATTAATTAAAATACTTAATATGATTATACCTCAGAGACAGAAAACCTCCAAAATAAATTTTCCAGAAACTGAATGGGATATCATTGAGTGAGCTCAATTAAAAACTTTTGATAGCTATCATTTGAAAAAGAACTGTAATCTGGATAATAACTAAAGCGCAGTGTATTAATAGGGTTTTAGGCTTTCAACATTAACTATGTCCTTTTTAAAATTAATGATACTGCAATAAAAGAGCAAAGTCATAGACTTACTCTAGCAGGGCCCACGCCAACAAACATCTCTAAGAATTCAGAACCATTGACTGTAATAAAAGGAACGTTGGCTTCCCCAGCTGTTGCTTTTGCTAGAAGCGTTTTTCCAGTGCCTGGGGGCCCAGTCAGAATAGCACCCTAAGAAAAGGTAGGAATAAAAGTTAAACATGATTAAACACACACACACACACACACACACACACACACACACACACACACACAGAGTCATCATCATTCATTTTTGTCATAGTATTAGCAAAATTCAGCAAAGGATTTAGATTGGAGGAAATATGAAATATTTAAGAAGCTCAATCCAAATTATAAGATTTTATGTCAATACAGAGCATATACTTCCTACTGTTGAGATGATGCCAACATATATTAGCTTGCAAGGTAGTCTTTAGAGCTCCCAACATGCACAGAGCAGTATGAACATGTTTATTATTTTTTAAAAAACTTGCAACCACCATGTGTTAAAGTAAATCTGTATTAAAAGGTTTGTTTTTTGTTTTATCTAAAAGGAAGTAATAGGATTGAGTTAATTGAGCAATAGAATTGAGCAATTCAACATCATCAGTGAGTTATTTAAATTCCATAAATTAATAATAACATTTTTCTTATTCTTGCAGATAATTAAAATTAGGAAGATAATACACTGTGACTAAGTTTGAAATTACTATTCCATGCCAATGAGATTTCTAAATATTTCTGGCTCTAAGTCAATGAATGCCCTTGAGAATTAGTACCTTTGGGATCTTTGCTCCAAGATCTTGATACTGCTTTGGGTTTTTCAGAAAGTTAACAAATTCCATTATCTCTAATTTAGCCTCCTCACAGCCAGCTACATCTTTGAACTTCACATCTATTTCATCTTTTAGGACTTTAGCAGTTGTTTCACCAACACTGAAGAGTCCACCCATTCCCCGGCCTCCTCGGCCTAATCCAGCTGCTCCTCTTCTTATTGAATATAGCAAAAAGCCAATTATAAGGACTGTTGGCAACATATTCAGCAGAAATGAACTAAAAAAAAGGATAAGAACTGAAAGTTGGTATAAAGCATGGCCTAGTCAAAATATTCATACAACTTGTCAAACACAATGCATGGAAAATACATTACAATGTATATATTTATTGTTAGGAATCTTCTAAACTTAATAGAAAGACTAATATTTAGCAGAACACCTATTTTTTTTAATGTTTAGAAACAAACCATCTATGTCCTAAAGAGAGCAATAGTGGATTTATATATTTTTCTGACAGTTAGCACCCCTATAATTTATTGCAAACAGCTCTAAGTGTCAAAGTTGCCACCTCACGCTCTGCTATTGCTTGGTGCCAGTCTGCCATGAACTCTGGGGAGACTGGATAGGAGTGGGGGGAGAAGTACCCAGGGTAATGAAGAGTTCACTGTATCAGCTAGAAATGTAATTTCCAAGATTAGATGCTAAGAACGACTGAGAACAAATCATAGCTGCATTCCAACCCACACTAGGAGCGGCCATTCTGAAAACATCCTTTTTGAATTTGATTGGACAATTGGGGGCCAGCATGGGGATGATGCCAGGGGATAGGATGTTACACTTGGGGATTTTGGTGGGCGAATTTCAGTTGTGGCTTAATGTCAAACCTGCCTTAACTTGAACCTTCAAGTAAGAATGTTCCTTAACTCCATTCATTGAGAAAGGTATAGTTTACTAAAGATCAAGTGAAACACAGCACAGCAAAGCCAGAACTGAAATTCACGTGCCAAAATAGGATCCTCCCCATATTGGCTCCCAAATGTCCAATCAAATTCGAAAAGGATGTTTTCAGAACGGTCGCTCCAAGTGTGGGTTGGAATGCAGCTATGATCTGTTCTCAGTCGTCTTGACCTTGAAGTCGCATCTCTAGCCCATACAGCGAACTCTTCATTACCCATGGGTACCCCCTCCCATCCAAAGTTCATGCCAGACTAGCATTAAGCAATAGCAGAGGGTGAGGTGGCAGTTCTGACACTAAAGTTAATTCTACTGAGATAAGTGGAAACATAACTGAAGAGAACTTTGGATCCCAACAATTATTTAAAATGATGAAAAATTCAGATAAGGACGAGGAAGCAATGGTTTACTTCATACATACCACACTGAAATAGCTAACAAAATAATTTCCCAAAACACTGAAAGAACTCAGCAGCAACTACTCAAAAACTCATATTTGAAACCCATCTTTGCTTTTAGTTCTGAGAGACCAACAAAGGCTTTAATGATATAATTATTCAATATATTTTAGAAGCAGCTGCTCTTGCAAAAGTAAATGTTTATACTTTTTTTCAAAAATTTCTCAATAACCCTTTAGAATTGTTTAATACTGCTTTCTAGTGATTTTTAAAGGTACATTATAATGCAAAAATTAAAATATCTATCATTTAAAAAGCTTACCCATCACTTTCTGCTGTATATACTACTGGCAATTTCTTCTCTCCTTCTATGCCCATCTCCTGTTGGGCAGTTTCCAAGTTCCGCTCAAATGTATCCACACTCCCAATATTAAACCAAAGAAATTGCTGTAAATAGACCAAAATGGTAGCAATTTAATTTTACTACTTAAGGTAATTTTAGACAGACAAATAATAACACTAAATTTCAGAGAAAAGGATTCCATTATGCATTAAGTGAAACAGGAAAATATATTTATTGATTGAATTGCTATTTAGCCTTTCATTCAGCTCAAATTGCCATATATAGAACTTTGTTCTATTTTTCCCAACAGTAACATGTAACAAATTTAGAAAATTCTGGATTCAAATACACACACTGATTTCAGAGGATTTTAAAGATTAATATACAATTGAGACCAACATATTTTCTTTTGGGGTTGATGAACAAGCAGTTGGAAAAAAATCATGGAAATAATTTGTTTTGTGCATGGTAACTGAAGTGAGATCACTGTATGCACAAAACTGAAAAGATTTGGCATTAACCCCAATGGAGGAAAGATTGGTAAAGATGATGGAACTTGCTGAGATGCATAAATTGACTTCTTTGATCAAAGACAGTATCTGTTTATTGCTGACTGGAAACCTATGTGGATTTTTTGCATAAAACAGAAAAAATGAACTTATGATTTATGGTTTTAATTATTAGAAAGAACATATTGTTACTGAGATGCTTAACAGATCAAAATTAAAAACATAAATTTCTTAAAACGCAACAAAAAAACCATTTCTGCTCCACAAGCCATAGTTTTATCAATTGCATATGAAGACATAGACCTTTGCCATAATGCTATGTATTATTATGTAATAATGTAAAAGACATTATTTAACTTATAGGAATGCACATAAGTATAAATATTGCACCCCCTGAAGTTTGCAGGCTATGAATTCAATTTACCCCATCAACAGGAGATTTCCCTGGAATAAAGACGACTCTAACAAAGCGTTTGTTCACTACTTCTAGTTTGTCCACCTATCAAAAAGAAAAGAAACATATTATTACCAGTATTTCTTGTTCATGTAATACTATATTTCTATTTGTATAAAGGCAGGAAAGTATCAGTACTAGATTTATTAACTTCTCCAAATTGGTCTCCTTGCTAATTAAATTAGAGGCTTTAATCTGAATCTCTGCTATACTCATGTAAAAAAAACCCCTGCTCAATTTAAAATAACAAAGAAGATGGGTGAGATTGATAATTCTCCTGGTCAACAGACTGCTATTGCTTCCTGTTATTCATAGAACTGTGCTCCTGATCACTGGTTCAAAACATAATGTTGGGCAACGGGAGGAAGAACTACAGAAAGTGAATGAGAATTCACTAGTCCCTGCTTTGTGATCCTTTAGGTATCTTGAATTGCACTGGTGGGCCCATCCTTTAAACAAATATAACAGTACCTGAAGCCATAACGTTACTTAAACCTATTTAACTCTACCATTTGGTAAAATGTGCATCTTTTAGTACTTGCAATAGAGCTTTTTCTGAATTTCCGAATTTCCTATTTAACTTCTGAGATACAATGAAGAGTTAAATGTGTTTTACACACTGAATAATGTAATTGCTCCGATAACTCTCTATCACCGACCAAAGTTTATACTGATATGTAATGAAGATGATTAGGGCTCTAGAGTTTAAAACATATGATGAACAGTTGCAGGAACTGTGTATGTCTAACAAAGAGAAAGACCGGGGTGACATGATAGCGGTCTTCCAATATTTGAGAGGCTGTCACAAAAATGAAGGGGACAACCTATTTCCCAAAGCACTTGAAGGCAAGACAAGAAGTAACAGATGGAAACTTAACAAGGAAAGGTCCAACCTAGAACTAAGGAGAAATTTCATGTCAGTGAGAACAATTAAACATGGCTTGCCCCCAGAAGTTGTGGGTACTCCAACACTCGAGATTTTGAGATTGGACAGCCATTTGTCCAGCATAGGGTCTCCTGCTTGGGCAGGGGGTTGGATTCCAAGGACCCTTCCGACTCTATTATTCTGTAAAAAAACTATTCTGAGTCTGTCACTGCAACATTAATAGACTTATGGATCCCAAGATATACATAAACTAATAAGATACCTATTTGCTTCTCTTGAGGATCATGACTTTAACAAAAAAAAATGGAGTTAGAGTATCTTGCCTTCAGTTCACTATGTGTGTGGTAAATTTGTGGGACCACCTCTTCCTTAGAATATCTGCCCACTCCGCCAGATTAGGTAAGGTAGGCACATTCCAATTCTCTTCCCTGAAATGTCATTTAGTGAGAAGTGTGCCTTTTCCGGATTGCCCCTATTTTACAGAACACGCTCTCCCCAATGATTTGAAGGCTACCACCATTTTAGCTTTTAGCTACCAGTGGTGGCGAACCTATGGCACGGGTGCCAGAGGTGGCACTCAGAGCCCTCTCTTTGGGCACGCGCGCCATCGCCCCAGTCCTAGGCCTTCAGCTGGGTTTTATAAAACCTTTTCGCTTTAGGCCTCCGCCGCCGTGTGCAAAAAAAAAAAAAAAAAGGTTCAATCAGTCAATTTCAACTTCTCACGGGGAAAAAAAAGATCTTGCAAAGTTGGAATTGATTGATTGAACTTTTTAGTTCCACCCAGTCTGCCATTACCACTGCAGCCACGCCCACCCAATTGGCCATGCCCACCCAATTGGCCACACCCAGCCAATGGGCCACA